GCAAAACATTTACCAAACTGTTCAGAACTGTTGCATAATATTGTATTATGAATAAGAATATTCTTATTATTTATTATTGTATAATGTTTTAAATTTTCATACATTATTAACTATTTATAATATTTAAACAAAACTTATTTCAATAATTACATGCAATTTACATCAAATTTCATTTACCGATAACTTATGCTATAATTTATTCAAATATTATATGAATAATTTATTAGATATGTATTTTGTCCATAATTTTCATAGAAAGGCTTTAAATATTTTCATATAATTCATGAAATATTACTTTATTTTACCAAAAAACAACAACAACACTATGAACTTCTGGTTGACATTACATTTATTTATTTATTATTCAAATCAATCATTTATTTCTCGTTTTGTCTTTGAATACTAAACGTTCATTTCGTGAGAAATATTTTCTTATTATAACTCATTTTGTGTGAAATTCTTGTCCAACATTTTTTATTAATTAATTAAATTATATTAAAATTTACAAAAAATCATTTTAAATCGGATTTCAATACTTTTTGCTGTTTATTACATTACTATTTCTGTTATATTTCTAATAATTATGAACAGGTATTCATGGATTACTTTTTATGTCATTTCATTCACATGTTTATGCTTTTTAGCTATGATTTTAAATGAACCGGAATATCACGGATTTATCAAGGATTTAGAAGTTATAACTCAAAAACTGTTGCAATAGTAAAAGTCCATACATTCGTAACCAAGCAAACTATTTGCATTTAGGGTTTATGTAGTAAATAAGCTAGAATAATAGAAAAATAGTTAAAATATACTCTATTAATATTACTGTATAAATAGGTTTCCATTACAAGTAACAATTTTGTGTAAAAATCTATTTGAAAAGTTTTGTCAGTAGTACAGCCCTTTAATCCCTGGTTATGGCGTAAAAGTTGCTCAAACTATGGTGGCATTTGTCAAATTGATTTAAACGTAACTTAATGACTCCCAAACTGCTGCATCTATTCCTGTAATCTTGAATTATTTTGATATTTTTCTGAAACCCATAGGAAATGGATTAAAATAGTTGCAGTGAACCACCGTTTATACTGTTATACTGTTTATATTAAAATTGAATGAAAGGAATTTTGATTGAATAATTTGAATCCTTAATACAAATGTTGCAAATGTTTTGATTAGTTATTCAAATATAAGACCTACAGTAATATTAAATTAATAACATTTTTTGATAATACTGTGCATTGAAAGGCAGGAAATACTTTGGTCTTGCAGTCGCCACGTTATGTAATTCAGGTTTAGTGCACATCAATATACAACTCCCACCAATAATTCAGAATCTGAATAATAATTACTTTATTTTTCATTTCAAACTTCTTTATGTGGGCTAAACCTCTTAAATGACTTCACTTTATAAACATTTAGATTTGATTTTTAAAGAGTTCATTTACTAATAATAACTCATATTTTGTTTGCTTTGCAGACAACAAAATTAATTTTCAAAATAACTTTTCACTTAAAAACCACTGCTTGTGACCAGTGATTGCATTAATAAATTTTATTTTAATGCCTTTATTGATAGATTTAAAACCATTTAAATACTTTGATTTGCATAATATTGACATTATTCCGATTAAAAGCGGGAATTCCATGAAATTGCTATGTTTTTATGAAACCATAAACTCTTAACCCTTTTTTAAATCTTAATTAAATCTTTCAATATTGAAGACATAATATTTTGTGTTACTTGTCGGCGATTTATATGTCTATAGATTAGATTAACAATACATTATAGTTTAGCACATATTTCTGAATGACTTCTGATAAGAACTGATATTTTCTTAGTTTACTCTTAAGTGGAAATTTCGTCCGATTATAACAATATTTTTGCTTTATTTCCACAATAAATATACAAACAAAAGAATGAATGAATTCCTGTATTTTTGTACATTTTGTCTATTCTTGTTTTCATTTTATTAATTATTTAATAATCTGTAGATTGAAAATCATTCATGAAATGTGAAATATAATAACCTAATGTATGAATAATTTTACAAACAAACACTTTTGTTTTACTAATGAAATGTTTGTTATTTTAATATTAAAATAACATTACAATAAATTGTCGACCAATCAATGGATTGATAAATTAAGGTTTGAAATGTGTATTTATTTTGTTAATTAGATATGAATGAAGTGATTGACTTTAGAAAACGCTTCAATTTGAACAATAAGACCAAACAAGAGAGGGTTGGATATAGTGTATAGAGTGAAGGATACAAAGTATAGAGTGAAGGATACAAATACAACATATAATGTGTAAGGAATACAAGTTTGCGATCGTATTCTTCGTCAACATCTGTCTCTCATTCTCGAAATTTGTTGAAACCGACAAAAATGTGGATAATTTGAATGAAAGCATTTCCAACACAACGAACCAGATCTACACTTTCGCGAAGACTAAATCTTTCATAAGAATCGATACAAACAACTCATGGAATATATTGAAAGCCCGAGAAGTGGTCTTTCAGTTCAAGACAGACCGACCGCACGGACTGCTCCTCTATCACACAGTTGTCAACCCTTTGCCCGGATTTCCAGTCTATGAACTCTATGTTATGCTTGAAAACGGAAAACTCAAAATAATCCATGAGTTTGGACCAGAACAAAAATCATTTTTTATTGGCCAGGGATTAAACCACGACCAGTTTCATACCGTTAAAATCACAATCAATGCACTCAATGGCACTTTGACTGCACTTTTAGACAATCACAACAGAAATCATAAGAATAATGGAATGAGAATATCGTTGACTTCTTTAGCAAATTATGTGAAAAAGAAAACAACAAATGCTATCAATTCTGTGCTATTCTTCGGTGGTTTTGATACCAAGAGTACGATAACTCATCAACAGTATAGTGTCAAGCGATTTGTCGGATGTGTCGGCAAAATAAAATTTAGACTTCTTTCCAATTCTCAGAATAATAATGAACTGACGGAAAGCCAAACAAATAAATATAAATTTGCGGTCATTTCCGACTTCGAAGGCCTACAAAACGGTTGTATAAATGAATGCAAAAAATTGGACTTATGTGCAAACAATGCCCTTTGTATTAATCACTACACGTATACCAGTTGTGACTGTTTTGGCACAAGACATGAGGACTGGCACTGTAGGAGTGATAACATATCGGTACTCACTTTCCGCGGCTATTCTTTCGTCTCATATAAAGTGTATGACTATAAGGATAGGATTCACTCCGATGTCAATCGCATAAGTTTTCATTTAAAAACCCAGACCAAGAATGGTATCTTAATGTACGGGAGGGGCGAACAACCCCTTCATAACTATATTTCACTTCATCTACAAAACGGTGTCCTGTTTTTCGATATGGATTTGGGCGGCGGAACCCTCAATGTCTCCGTCGATCATATTGTCTTATCGGACAATAAATGGCATAACATAACAGTCAAACATCACTCGAATAGTGTTTACTTATATATTGATGAAGATTTAGTTAAATCACTTACACTTCCAGGCGCTCATCATCACCTACATGTTGATCCAGGTCTGTATGATAATATATAGTAGTAATGATCACAAAATAAACTGATTGTAATTTTCGATGAAATAGAGATCTTTTTCGGAGGTGTTCCCAGCGCTCGGTTTAAACCACATTTAGTGCCGTTTGATATGAATTATCGATTCGTTGGTTGTCTTAAATTTGTTTATTTTAATACAATTAATATTTTATACGATTTGAGTCACTCGAGTAAAGCAGCTCAATATCACAGTGTATTCGCGCCAGAGTTTGGTTGTTCATCAATAGATCCCATTCCCATAACGATGTCAACCAAGAAGTCTCATTTCATTATAAACATCGAGAGAAGCAATAAATTGAAACTAAATCTCGAATTTAAATCCGAGAAAAGCGATGCAATACTCGCTTCTGGGAGTCTTAGAGACGGTTTGAATAATAGTGAAAAATATTGGTTTTTGCATTTAAATAATAGTGAAGCCAAATTCACAATCAGTTCATCCAATAGTTCACTCGATTCTTTGTGGAGTATATCCAGTTCACTCAAACATTTACTCAACTTTTGGCAACAAATATCTCTGGAATCGGAAGAAAACGGGAATATAATAATTGTCTCAAATTATAAATACAGAAACGAAGCTATAGTTGAGGGCCTTTCCATTGAATATTTTAATGCAAACGTCTCTTTTGGTGCTGGATTTTTGGTCAACTCGAGTGCAATCGAGGGTTTGAGGGGGTGTTTAAGAGATATATCTATCAATAATATTGAAATAGACCCGAGAATTATATATCATAACTATGCAGTAATAGGGAAGATCTCATTAGACAACTGCCAACTGGTCGACCCCTGTAACAGTCCTAATGTGTGCGAACACGGGGGCAAATGCATTGCTTCATTAGAGACAGGTATCTTACACTTTCAATATTACTAATACACATATCAAACATTGCTTTTATTTTTAAAATATTTATTTTAATTAAGGATTGACTAAATGTGATTGTGGACGGACTGGATATGTAGGCAAAACATGTCATTTCTGTGAGCCTTGAATTCTTACAGTTCTATGGATTCTTGACACAGAATTTTTAAAACTTTGTTCATATGTTTAGCCATATTTAAGCGGACGTGTGAAGAGCTATATTTGGCCGGTTATCACAAGACTGGCACTTATATAATAGACATTGACAGCAATGGACCCCTTCCTCCAGCTCATGTCATTTGTTCCATGTCTGAGGACGGGATGATTGAAACTATTGTTGAGCATAATATTCGACATCAAGTGGTAATGCATTGAAATTATCTGATAATTTCAAATCTAAGTAATTAACTGAAAAACTTTGAAGGTTGTGAGAGAGCGGGGAATTTCTGGCAATTTCTATCTAAATGTCACTTACAGAGAGTTTACTACCGAAATGCTTCACTCGCTTATACAACATTCAAAGCAATGTTCACAATATATCAAATATGAATGCAATTCAGCGCCTTTAGGGTATAATTGATTATAATTGACCACTGATTCCATATATTGACTAAAGAATTCTTAAAAGTTTATCGGGATATACATGGATGAAGTCGACAGAGCCGGGTCATCAGGTGACGAGCATTGGGAGTGGAGTGTCCGGACGGTGCAAATGTTCAACCGCTCAGAACTGCTTCGATAGGAGGTCTGTTGTAGTAAAGAATAAAGTGTTGGACGGCGTGACACTCACTGACTATATGTACTGCCTATGAATTAGCAAACACTGCAACTGCGACAGTGAGACCATCGGCTGGAAACACGACGACGGCCTCTTCACTGACCCCAAAGACGTCGGAATCACGAGAATGTTCTTTTTGAAGACAAAGTCTCACTTCAAAGAGTCGGAGGCACACCTCATCTTAGGGAACGTCAGTTGCATTAACTCGAGTCAGTCTTGATGTTAACATTTTTATGTCGAATTTTCTAATTAATAAAATTGATTTTTATTAGACACTCGAGAATATGAGATTACATTTCAGACTAAAGAATCCTATTTGGAAGTGTCGGGCTGGGAAGGCGGCGATATGGCCGTCAGTTTTCGTACGACTGCCTCCAAGGCTGTCATCTTCTATCAGTCACCTCTCCATTCACAACACGGATACTTCAAAGCAATCCTTTCAGATGAATATGAAATCACTTTTGAATTTCTAGTCAATAATAATCCGCGAACTGTTAAATTAATATCCAGTAGACGTCTCAACACAGGGGACTGGCAGCAGATTTGGGTCGATAGCGACTCCCATCATATGAGGTTATCATCAAAATATGGATATTTTAATAAAAACTAAATATTTTAAAATACAATTTAATTTTCAGGTTCACTGTTAACCTAAATTCAGAACTTTTTGATCTCGAAGACGACGACGAGTTTAATGCCTTTGAGGGCCCCCTCTATGTCGGAGGAGCGCCCAAACACCTGCTCATGAATTCTGAAGTCCGCACCGGTTTTATTGGTTGTCTTCGGGGTCTGGTTCTCAACAATAAAGTCGTTAATTTAAACAAACATTTGCACCGAAAGTATAGCAATTGTATCATGAAATATTGTGAACACAATTATAAATATGATTTGTTGTGTACTGTAGGGCCACTCATATAGAGAAGGGTTGTCAACCATTCTGCAAACCGGACACTTGTAGGAACGGTGGCACTTGTGTCGAGTTGTGGGGGTCTTTTGAATGCAAATGCGCTAATCCTATCGCACAGTCCGGACGCAACTGTGAGATCGACATCAACGCCAACAGTAAGAGGAAATGTGTTCAAAGAATTGTTAATTAATTGGCATTCAATGGTGTAATAGGTATGACATTCATAACTCCGAGTTCTTATTATCAGAAGTTGGCTGAAGGCAAAGAAGTGAATCCTATTCTCGAGAAAGATATTATCATAAGTTTTAGGACTCATATGACAAATGCACTGATATTTTACGCCAACGATTACAACAACAACTTCGTTCAGTTGCACATTGAAAACGGAACTCATGTTGTCTTCACTTACAACACATACGATCGTGTGGTTCGGGGAGCCGTCAAAGTCGGCGATATCCTTACGAGTGGTAATCCCATACAAATCAAAGTGGATAGAAGTCAAAGGAGTAAAACCATTCTCACGGCAAATGATGCCTCCATTATCATCGATCACTCCATCAAATTCCTTAACAAATACAGTCAAAAGCCGTGGAAATCAAGCGATGAGTTAGAACTGGTCAAACCTGCCCGACCACCAGTTCCTATTGAGGCTCACAGTCAGCTATTCTTAGGAGGTGTTGACGAAGTGGGCGCTACGTCCCAAATACCGGGTATCGTTGGCTGTCTTCAGGGCTTTGTGATCGGCGGCAATCTCTTTGATCTGTTGACGGTTGCCAAAGAACCCTCAACGGTAGCCATCGGACAAATAAGACCCGGTTGTACTATGTATGATAATGTCGTTTCTTGTAATTATGTTTATGTTTAAGACATTATATTTAGTATTCATTTATATAATAATTAACTGTAAATTACATCACATTTGGTGCTTACATGCCATTTAGGCTGTGCGATCGGATCCCTTGTTTGAATGGTGGCGCCTGTACTGAGGACTGGAAGAATAATAAAATTTTCTGCAATTGTAATATGACTTCATATGGCGGTGAGACGTGCAATAAAGATGTAGGTGCCCGATTTAATGGCCATTCGCTCGTGAGATACACTTTCCAATCAAATGACCACAATTTAGATGAAGTCAGTATTCATATGGCATTTTCAACTGATAAAATACCCGATCCATTGGGTCGTACAATGCTTGTGGTCATCCATTCTCTGAGTTCCACATTAATTCACATCACTTTAATGGCCGATCAGTCGCTTCTGGTCCAAGAGATTAATAATAGTTCTAAGCGTTAGTCAAACGAATACGAAAATATGAGTGAAAAGTCGATATAATTGTGTTTAATATTTAGTGACCGTAAGAGTAAAGTCGGACGAAGAGCTGCCACTGGCGGACGGCAACAGGCATTGGATGTTATATACTCGCAAAGAGCAAACCGCACAGTTGGTTGTGGACAGTGAGATATATGACATGACTTTTGAATCCAAATTATTCCAAAACGAAAACCATAGCGAAGAAAGTCTGGTATTAGTCGGAGCCACTCATCCCAAGGATAGTCGCCTTGAGAACTACACCAATTTTGTAGGCTGTGTGTCGAGTCAGTCATATATTTTTTTATTTATTAAATCTATAACTCATATGAACTAAAATATAATTTTTATTCAGATGTATTGATTGAATTAAATGACATGAAGTTAGAGCCGTTGGAGTCAGCGTTTGGAGGCAGAGCTGACTTGTCTTCGGTTAGAGTGGAAGGAGATATCAAACAAGGATTGTGTGCAGAATTCAAAGAAGAATTCAAAGTCGTGGCCTCTCCTGTCATAGAACTCCCAGAAGTGAATAATATTGAAGTAAATACAGAATATATTGAAAACTATTCTTAAAATTCTTGTTAAAATCCATAGACCGAGAATGAGTTATGGCTCTCACCTCCAGAACCCAAATTGATTCCCTTTAAGACCAAACCATTACTATTGAAATCAAGCGAACAAATCAACAAAACTCCCATTTATATCACATGCATTGCATTCCTATTATCCGTTTTATTCGTGGTTTCCATTTATATGTGGAATTTGCAGAAAAACTATCAGATCCGACGATTTCATGGCGAAACACCATTTTTTCATTCACACTCTAAACGTAATAACACCTCAAAAAGTAGAGGTCATTGAATACATCCCAATATTTAACTAAATATCGTAACACGAAAAGCAAATTTTTCATGAATATTCTGTATTTTATTCAATGTATACACAGATATGAAGTTTCACGTCATATCTAACGGTAATGATGACAGTGAAGCAGCTGTTAAGCTCTTACAACACCAGGAGATCGTCACTAATGGCACCCATGAATCACATCCATTACAAGAGACAAACTCCCAAGACTTCCATAAGACAACGCGTATTAGATTTCAAGATGAAACCAATGAGTCGTTAATCAATGACAATGACATCAAGAATAACAAAGAATCTAATCATACGTCGACCACAAGAGTCAGATTTGCTGATTCGACATAAAAGTGTTTGAATCTCAAGCTATATATGATTTAATTCTTTGTGAAACTGTTGTAATTAATCGCACGAATAGTATTGGGACGACAAACGACTAATTCTTTAGATGATATGAAAATGGCAACAAATTTTAGAAAACAAAATCACAATTGAATTCAAAACAATTAAAATGTGATAAATACATCAAATTCTCCAAATAATTGTGGTATAAATTAGCTCAACATATATGTAATTGTCTGCCATTTATTAACCATATTTTCCAATTGTTTTGATGGAAATTAGGATTCAAACCACATATAAAGCACTTTTTCATAAACGAGTCATCGATTGAAACAATTGTTTGCAATTCATTATAATTAAACTCTAGTCTATATATTTATTTAAAAATTTATTTACAATTAAATTAAAATTTTAATATATAAAACATTTATGATTTTCGATCACATTATAAGACTAGATGTAGTCCTCCGTCACATAACAGCACTTCTCCCGTAATATACGAGGCATTGGCCAAGAAATGAACGGCTTCTGCGACCTCTTCGGGAGAACCGATTCGCTGCAGAGGAATCAGTTCTTCAGGCTTTGGTTTAATTATATTAGACGTCATGTCAGTCCTCACAAAACCTATAGATTTTACATTCATTTAAATCTATAATAGTTTTACCGCTAAATATATTGAGTGAATACCGGGTGCTATCAGATTGACGGTTATGCCAATGGGCGCCACCTCTTTAGCCAAAGACTTTGTGAACCCAATGAGTCCAGCCTTTGAGGCCGAGTATATCGTTTGACCCGTATTTCCCTTCAGTCCCACAACACTTCCTGAGGTATTAAGTGAACCATTAATTCAATTCAGAAACTAATGGATCCGTTGATGAATGCAAACCTATGTTAACAATGGACCCCTTTTTGTGTCTAATCATGTGCTTCAACACAGTTTTGCACATAAATATAGTTCCCATTAAATTGGTTTCAATGGTATCTTTGATCATATCTTCGGACGAATTAAAGAGCAATTTGTCTGAATTAATGGCCGCCGCGTTCACCAGCACTTCAATGGCACCCAAACTCCGGTCAATACTCTTAACACTGCCTTCAATGGACGCAGGACTCGATATATCGCATACCTGTCCGCTGACCGTCACTCCTGTCTTCTCTTTCGACCACTTCTTCAGCGATTCCACACTTTTGGCCACATTTTCTCCATTCTTCGACATTATTATCACATTATAACCACTTTTCTGTTGACATTACAGTTAGGAAAGAAACGTAAAACACAACTCTCGTGAAGACAGTGATGGACACAAACTGACCGCAAATCTAAGGGCAACGGAGTATCCGATACCTCGAGAGCCGCCGATAATCAACGCCTGCCTCAAGACACCCATCGATCACCTCATCGTTTGTCCGTCACTTGAATCGCAAGAAATCACATTTGAATGAAGTGTCCAAATGTTTGCACACAAAGTGATGCCATCTGTGGACGTGTTGTCGCAACACATTTGAATCACTTCTTTGAAAGGGTCGACACTTTCGGCGTTCACTGGATTTGCGGTTCACTTAAAGCACACATCAATTGATCCTGCACATTCCTCGCCGGAAACTGACACGAACATCGAGTTTCACACCGATTGTCGACAACTGATCCAATCATGTCATCGAGTGGTGCCTCCAAGAAGAGAGTTTGCTATTATTATGACGGTATGTGTGCTCTCAAGACATTTGCTGACCATTATTGCCATGATTTTGGTCTCATTTTAGTATTTGTCATATTTTTGTTACCATTTTATTGTCAATTATACCATATTTTGTGTCGAAAAGTAATTGTATTTCAAACAAATACCACAACAATTATGATTGATTTGAATGAGCGCTCATTTGTAGGCGGCTTGAGTGGAGCTCCGTAGACGCTATATAGCTATAGACTTAAGCATAAGCTCAATGATAGCTCTCATAGAAATAGTGTTAGAACTGGTGCTACTGAAGCCCAATATGGGCGCACACATTTTGAGCCGCATTTTGTGAACTTATCACTGACTTGTGCTTGTACACTGTATTGACTGATAGGTGATATCGGGAACTATTACTATGGCCAGGGTCACCCCATGAAACCACACCGCATACGTATGGCACACAACCTGATCCTCAACTATGGATTGTACAGAAAAATGGAAATATATGTGAGTTTTGAGTACTTTTCGTAACTTTTGTGCAAAACTTATTTCATTTGTCAGTAATTTTTGCTAAAATTTTTGGTTAAATTGTTTTATCAATGAATAAGTAATGAAATAATAAGATAACTGTTTCTGTGGATAGCGGCCACACAAAGCGACTCAGGAGGAGATGACTAAATACCACTCCGACGACTACATCAGGTTCTTGAGGAGTATAAGACCTGACAATATGAATGAATATAACAAACAAATGCAAAGATGTGAGTCTGGATTTGCACAACCATTTGGTTGAGTAAAACACCAATTAATACTTAATATCCATACAAACAGTTAATGTGGGCGAAGACTGTCCCGTATTTGATGGTCTCTACGAGTTCTGTCAACTATCGACTGGTGGCTCAGTTGCCGGTGCCGTCAAACTGAACAAACAGGCGGCAGAGATAGCGGTGAATTGGGCGGGAGGTCTACATCACGCCAAGAAGTCGGAGGCGTCTGGCTTTTGCTACGTTAATGACATCGTGTTGGCTATTCTTGAGCTCCTGAAGTATCACCAAAGGGTGCTCTACATCGACATTGACATACATCACGGCGATGGTGTCGAAGAGGCTTTCTATACCACCGATCGAGTGATGACCGTCTCGTTCCACAAATACGGCGAATACTTTCCCGGAACCGGAGATCTCCGAGATATAGGCGCCGGCAAAGGGAAGTACTATGCGGTCAACTTTCCCCTTAGGGATGGTATCGATGACGACGCCTATGAAAGCATTTTCCAGCCGCTCATCTCAAAGGTCTGTTTTAACGCTTATATTGTGCTTTCAATGTCTAAGCTATGATTGCAATGACTGACAGGTGATGGAGATGTATCAGCCGAGCGCTGTTGTGTTACAGTGCGGCGCCGACTCATTGTCAGGCGACCGACTCGGGTGTTTCAATCTCACTCTCAAAGGGCACGGCAAGTGCGTTGAGTTCGTTAAGAAGTTTAATACACCATTACTTCTGGTGGGCGGAGGCGGGTATACCATTCGCAACGTCGCCCGGTGTTGGACTCACGAGACGGCCGTCGCTCTCAACTCTGAGATCGCAAATGGTATTCATTGTGTGATTCAGTTATTCATCTCTTGCTTATGAACTGTTTTAACATTGTGTCAGAACTTCCATACAATGATTACTTTGAATACTTTGGACCCGATTTCAAACTACACATCAGTCCCTCAAATATGACGAATCAAAACACTGCTGAATATTTGGAGAAAATTAAGTCAGTTTTGATGTGAACTTCATTTAAAATGAAATGAATTAACGATAAATTTGATTGAATTGTGGTTCAGAACGCGTTTATTTGAAAACCTCCGAATGCTTCCTCACGCGCCGGGCGTTCAGATGCAACCCATCCCTGAAGACGCTATCGATCAGGAGAGTGAAGACGAGGACAAACAGGACGGCGACGAACGCATTAGTATCAGAGCGTCTGAGAAGCGGATCGCCAGAGACGACGAGTTCTCTGACAGCGAGGACGAGGGCGACGGTCGCCGCGACAGTAGATCTCATAAACCAAAGGCTAAGAAATCAAAGGTCGAGGCGAACAGTACGACGACTCCCAACGCCAACAATAATAATGAGACGAAAGACAAGAATAACGACGAGTCGAAGAAAAAGGAAGAGCCGGTCGTCGACTCGACTGAGAAGAAGGCGCCGGCAGTTGAGACACCGGCTGAACCCGAACCCGAAGCACCCAAAGCCGCCGAAGATAAGTCGGACTCAACTAAAAAGTAATGAAATATATATTTATTGCGTTTATTTGCAGTAATATTAATGAACTCATTGTGTTTAGTGAGCCCTCGCCTCCCGCCTCACAGAATGCCTCAGCGCCCGGACCTAAAGGGGATGGCGTCGAGAAAGAGAAGAAGACGTCGTCGTGATCTTAATGATGGGTTAATTGAATTAAAATGTAAATCACTAATGAAATTATAATTAATGCCATTATTTATTTGCTTCAATGCATGTGAAGCACTTTTCTATGCGATCATTCAAATCATTTTCTAACTCATAACTCAATTATCGGTAATGATTTATCTTAGTTTCTATTATTGTAATCAAATTCTTGATAATAATTATTACTTAAGTTTTGTAAGACGATTGGTTTCATGTCATAAATTATTGTACTGATTGTGAAAATTCTATTTTGATTTTATCACAAATTTTGTTCTCTTTTTTTAATTAAAATTTCATTAATTTATAAATGTTTTATCATTTCTAATTCATGTTACTCTCATAATCGCAATATATTATAAGAAATTGACGGACAATGAATCATACATTGGGTCTGTATATTACATATTAAGTTTAACAACACTTCAATAAGTATGGTAAACCTATAAACTTCACTATAGGACAGATTAGTTCACAAAACTAATTCCTGTAATATAGTATCACTTTTTCCTCAAAAATTGCAATTACAATAGTATTATAATCTTTATTTTTAAAATGTCTACACTTTTAGTTGATATTTACTATTCAAATCATCATTTCGGTCTAAATTTTGAACGCCATTCAAACTAAACAGTTTTGTATGTATTTTGGCAAATGTCATGAATTTCTTGAAGCGGATTGTGTCCGTAGAACTGAGCACTTGTTTGGCACACATTTGTTGAATCTCTTGCACACCAGTCATAAGGAAAGGTCACAACTGAACCATTGTTATCATTTTGATCATAAGCTATGGTTCTTCGGTCAGTTGTCTCTGAACTAAAGGCTTGATTTTGAATCAAAGTATTGAAATCAATAAAATCCAATTCATGGAAATCTTCTTCACTTATTGGTTGTTGAGTGCAGTCTTTACTCATTTGAAAACAATTCTGCTTTTCGTTTTCATAATCAAAGTCAGAATCAACTCCAAGAAGTATTGAGATATCGTTGAGAATGTCTGCCGGAGTTGCCTTCAAACGACTTAAATCACGACTAGATTTAGATTTTGTGTTTTGAGCCAAAGATTCAGTTGTTTTCTTCGTACGAAAATTCTCAACGAAGGAATCGTTTTGTAGTTTCACTCGTTTAGCAGTGTTTGCAAAGTGTTGTGAATTGAGATCTGAATCCCATTTATTAGAATCACTCATATATTCAATAGTCTCTAAAGATGTCTTGAGATGCTGTTCACCATTTGGATGAAACTGAGGCTGAATGCAGTTGGATGACTGCACCCAAGGATTGTATTGGCACCGGTAGTAATTGTAATTGGTGTAATATTGGTTGTAATAGTGCCACCAGTGCCACAACTGCCACTTCTCATGATCAAATACACTTGAATTGGATTGCATTTTGTCAAAGAGTTTGTTTGTCTATAATTATGAATTTTGTTTAATTTTAAAGTAAACCTCATTTTACCTAATCACTCGCGAGTCAACAATAATTATTATATTAAAATTACATAAAAGGAATTATATATTTGATTAAACTTTGTACAGATATTGTGTAATACAGAATCTGTATTCAGAAACAGTATAAAGAGAGAATATAGAGAATTTAATTATTTTTTAATTTAATATTTTTATTTGACTAAATTTGGCTAAATTTAATATTTCTTACACAGAGTATATTACTGTAATTCTAAAAATTTTAATGTTTATAAAATTATAAATATTGATTTATTTATGGTGATTAAAACAAATAGTGTTGATAAATTAAGGATTTGATTTATTAGTAGCATTGTGATTCAATTAAAGTCCTATACAATATATTTTATCAAAATATTTTGTTGATTGAAATGTATTAGGGCCTAATACTATTACTAATACTACAAAGTATTAGACTATTCCTTATAATTTATTATTAATTTTAAATTTCAAACTTTTTTGTTCACTTTGAATTTAAGTTATTTGTACTCTAAACAGTAATCTGAAAATATGCACAAATTTTAAAATAAAATGATAATTATCCAAAAAAAATCTTTAATTAAAATTAGTTATAAAATGTTTTAAAGCATGATAAATTACATATTCTAATTGCTATTAATATTAATTGATGTTTACAGTATGTTTTAATAAAATAAGTGAAATAAAGAAAAATAATAAATAAAAGCTAACAGTATTCATGGGATTCAATGATTTCAGAATCAAATGATTGATACAAATGATTGTCGGCTGAGGTTTTAAAGGCAAGAGGAAAGGGTCGTTCGCTTGGATAGTGTTGTGAACACTGATGTATATATGGAAATGAAACTGAAGATAACGGCTCTGTCTCTTCACTATTAGAGGGCTTGTTATGGAAAGTGAAGGGCCAGGTCTGCAACAAACCAATTATACATATATGAGACAAATATACAAAACATATTTATATAGACATTAGTCTACTCTTTAAAACAAACTGTCTGTCAGTCGACTAAAGCCTATATCTCTTTTTGACACAAAATTCTCTAAGAATTGCATCTGTTTTAGGCACAGCTTAGTATAGGACTCGTATAGGAATTCTAGTGAACGCTATAAGAATTTTCAGTTAAAGTCACTCAACAGGCGGTCACAGACTATGTTCTCATACATTATATGAGGAATGGTTAGAAGAAAGAAGTATAGATTTATATAAGAATTGCATACTAACTGTACCGTTACAGTAAACCATAGGTTTAGGGTTAAAATGTGTTTTGTTTAAAGTTGTACTGCTTGTATGCTAAACCTCTACTCCCTTTCTTCTAACCATTCCTTAATTTAATTAACTTAATTCTCTATTACCAGTGATTTTGGTTATAAATGAGTTTAACAACATTTTCTATCATTATGACAGTAATTTAATCAAATTATTAATGAACTAAGTTTGTAAAAAGTATATAGACGGCAAATGAATGCAATTATTGTATTGTACAATAATTTTTACAAGAAAGATACAAAGTATATGAAAAGTAAGTCTAATTTTTAAAACGATATACCTGTAAGTATACAAAGTTATATTTACTGTATATGGGAAATTATTAACTGGACTAATTCTAAAGGCATATGAAAAATATGTAAAGTATAACCTTTCTAAGCTTCAATTTTTAGAACAGTTATAATTATAAAAACTAATCAAAAGTAATATTTATTTGTAAGCCTTAAAATACTCATAAATTGATCGCATATTTTAAATACACTATAGTGCCAGTGAGTGATTTTTTAGAGTGCAGTTAAATGCAAACATTGATTAAATTGTGTTGAAAACTTTTAGTGTTATCATATTAAACATTAAGTGTTAATAAGTTGCTTTAAAATTATGCCCAGGCTATATCATTCACTAATATTTGTGGCTTACAAGTGATTTAATTTTAATAGATTTTGTTCATTCAATTGATGTGTGACTCCAAAGACTTATCTAAGAAAGATTTATCTAAGAATTAGGCGCAACAGAGTGAGTGAAAAAACTCAGAAAAATCAACACAATGTGTAAGTTTTAAAGTAATTAATTTATAAGCTATAGAATTCAGTGCAAAACTTATAACGAGTTTCCAAATGTTGAAAACAAAATAAGTAAAAACTTACTAAATTGAAGGGATGAATGGATGAGTTGGGGTATGTTTGTTCCTCAGCCAATATCTGTCGCAAATGACTTATATAACTGGCCGCTAATCTCAATGTATCCAATTTGGAAAGTTTAGTATCCGCCGGAACCCACGGCAATGATGTCTTTAATCGAGTGAAAGCCTTATATAATAATATAAAGTGAATGCTTAAATACTTTGAACACAAGAAAAATGTTGACAAATCATACTTTGCTGAGAACCCTCATGCGAGCCCTTTCCCTAGCATTGGCCGCATTCCTGGCCACCGGTCTCTTGCCGTTAGATTCGGAATATTCGGAGTCCGACGAAGTGTTGGTGTAATCGAAAAGTTCACTCTCAGAGAGCTTTCTCTTGCGAGCCATTCCTAAAACAAATGGAAATTTTACTAAAAAGTCAAAACTCTTCTCTAGTTTTGTTGTCATTCTATAACTACTTGTATTGAATTACATGAGCGCTAATACTATTGCAAATTCATTGCATAAGTCACTGGATTTGCGGACACTTTGCATTCAAAACAAATATGTATTTTAAGTGAAAACAGATTAAGCGGTCAATGGTTAAAAAAATAAAAGTCTGACCTTTGAGTACAGATTTTGATGAAAAATCGTTTTGATTTCAGATATTCTTCCCAAGAGTTCAATAACTTTTTCAAAATACTGTAATATTATCAAAATTAGCGACTATTCAGAAATAATTGACTTTAATATTCCGAGCTTTTAGTGATTCACTCGAATCTCTAGAACTGAAGATTAGGCCTAACTTTCTGTGAGATAAGCTTTGGGTGCGATTCTGTGGATGTCTTTGCGCTCCTCCTTTCACACCATCTCCTCTCCAATATTGGCTGTTATTTAAGTCCCACTCGAGACGTGAAGACATTAGTCAACGCTTCCTAACTTTGTTTTCAAACTTACGCTCAAAACATCGCGTTTTTGTAATTTCAGAGAAAAAAGTTGTTTTATATAAACATTTCATTTAATGGGCAACAGTTGCATACACTGTGCGATAGCACGTGCCAGTGCCGGTCCTCCTGTCCCGCTCACTGTGTGCGCTATGCATCTAATTAAAGAATAAACAAATACAACAAAAAATTTTCTTTTAAAGTTTCAATCAATTTGTCGAAAGAATTTTCTCAAATGAATCCCTCACTCAACGCACGCATGCAATCACAGCGGTGTGTGTTTGAGGGGCCGGTAGTGACCACATCCTGACACACGTGCGACCAGACAAACGCCGATTCTGTACACTGTTTAGTGTTTATTGTATACAATGTGTTGAAAATAACTTTTTCTACGTTCTCTTATAAACAATTGAAAGAAAGCAATACTTTTTGTTCATTTCCATCCTATAGCTTAGCTTTTGTTCAAATCTGCCTTTTCTTGAAATTATCAAAGTATCAAGACTTTTGACATTTAAATTAAAAATACATTATGAATGCTAAATGGTTAGTCTAACTATGAATTAGAGAAAACTTTAAGATGACTTAGAAATTAGAAAGCATGAGAAGGCATGAGAAGGGTATTTCTTAAATTTAGATATTTATGAGATTATTATCTAAAAGATTAATTACCAATAACTACTGAAACGGGTTAGAGTAGGATTAACTAGTGTTAGCTGATATACTGTAGTACAGTATTGATGAACCATTACCAGATCATATTACATGTCCATAACTGGACACATGTTTGGCTCATATTTTAAGACTTCACTTGTTTTGACGCTGTTTTAGTTAATGATAACCAAAATAAATTCTAATCCTTTATTATATTCAATTTATTTCATGATTTTAAATAAATCAACATACTTTTATATAAACATTATGTTACTTTTCTATGTGATAATACTGTACTAAACACTAATGAATTCTAGTATAATAAATTGTAATTGAATTTGTCTAAAATTAATTTTATATAAAACAATAGTTTTGTTAGCAAAATATTTAAAGAATATTAAAATAATTTAATAATAAGACAATAAAATGAAACACAAAATAGATTTTATGTTGAGTTTTATAACTCGAGAACAGATGTGATTTGTTTGCAATGAATGTGACATTAAATAAACTATAAAACGAGAGCTTAAGACATGTCTTATGGAGTGAAAGCTATATCGAAGAATAACTTCTTAAGTGACAAACAGCTGAAATTCATTGCAGACTATCAAAACATATCATCAATACTTCCATCAAATTTAATCTCAATTTATTAATAGTTTGAATCTTTTTACAATAACTCTCAGAATTCATTCATCAAATACAATATTCACCACAATTACTAAATTCATTGGAATTTTCTTAAACAATAGATACATAAAGTATAAATTATTTATCATACATTATGGCTAAATATAAAGTGATGTATTTGCAAATGATTTTAATCTTAAGATAAAGAATTAGACCTTTTGCTCCTTTTCTTGTGAAATACCGTTAGATATCATTAAATATTTGTTCATATATTTAGAAGTTGTGGTTCAAATGGACACAAACTAATACGGACCACTTGAATGACATACTTTTTACAACAAAATGTATTAACCCAAGTGTATGACAATTGATTGATCCTGCTTACCTGAAAAGCCATTAAAATTAGATTAATGACAAATATCGACAACCAATGAATTAAGGATTAAATGCAAGCTCTAAATGAATACAAAAGTGAAAGTGCAATGAAAATAGCAATTAACTGAATGGTTGGAAATGATTGAAATGTATTCGTTATATATATTTATATTTATTTGTAAATCGAATTCAACTCATAATATAATATATATTATATTCTCTTTAATTACATATGAATGGTCTGAAAGGCGAAACACAATTGAAAAATGCGAACAATAGAAGAGATTATAGAAGAATATTCAGGTCTTCGCTCGTAATTAACATTTAAATTAAAGTCCATTTCCTTCACCTATATTTCAAATCAAGTGTTGAGCCGTTTTTCACATTGTAATTGAATCGAAAAGTGCTATCACTTAAAAAATAGCGAATCAGTAATAAATTTAATAATTATTTTGTAAACTTTATAATAATGTTTGTCTAAAATAGACTGCAGTAATAGTCGAGAATGTAATACAAACGATAAAATAACTTCGATTTTCAATTTGTGGCACAATTAGGATACAAACAGAACAACTAATTTATGGGACAATTGATTGAAATTATAAAAATGCAAATAAAAAATACTTTTTGTAAAGAATGAAACAATGGATTCATATATTGAAACAAAAGCTGCTCTCAAGTGATCAGAAGGCAGTCCACAGAGAAATCACTGGATAGACGACTGCTGTTGTATCTCAATCTTCTCGACAGTCATGTCGGGGTTCATCATAGTTGCCTCCTGTATGGCGTCTGCCAGTGCTCTGTCGTGATCGATGGGGTCGCCATCACTTTGAATAGTTATTTTCTGTTCAACCCGTGTCTCGACTACACCATCCTTTTCCATCTTATACTGCAAACCAATCATTAAATTTACATTCAATTCATTAAACTATGAAAGCATTCGTACGGTAATCGTCTCAACGGTTCTTGTTTTCGAAGATATAGTTTGCGAGCTGACCACATCGCCTACCGGTGCCGCCACACCATTTGTCGGTGAAGTGCCAGTGCTGTTATCGTTAGCAAATTGTGGGGGTGGGGGTGGAGTGGCTGTGCTTAAGTTCAGTGCTGGACTGTGCGAGTCTTGGGTTTGCTTTGCAGTCGGCTATAGTTTTCAAATAAAAAATGTAAATAATTGATAATCGATTAATTCGGGGAACAGTATGTCTGACCCGTGTCTCAGTATAGGCCACTTTGCGGGTTTCGGTCGCAATCACAGGAACTGATTTAGTGGGAAGAGGACTCTGTTGAGCGCTGGGACTGTACTTAATCTTCTCAGTCTTAACAATGGGCGCCACATCATCGAGAGTCCCGCTCACTAACCGTGTGTTTTGGGAAATATGTTTCGAAAGGGACTTCTCCTCCTCGATGGTTGTGCTGGTCTTCTTAGTCGAGTGAATGCCCTTTTCGTGTCCAAACTCTTCACCGGATGTTTGCTTTTTGGAAACCGAAGATATGGAAGAGGACGCCGTCTTAGATGTCTCGCGAACGTTAGGATAACCCGTTTGAGGGGACCTTTGGGTCCGTTTTGATTTGTCGTGAATCTTAATGTCGTAAAGGAATTCAAATTAATAATCGATAAAAACAATGAAATCAGTGTTCAAATGCTTTCAAAGGTTAATATCAAGCAATAAAACAAAAGCAGAATTAAGTGACAGAATAGCAGCGGAAGAATAATTAGTGCGCAAAGAGTCGACGTTTTTATTGCAATTTTGGTACCGATTCTGAAGTCGAAGTACGAGTTTTAGTGGCAGCGGAGGGCACGACACCGATAATTACCGGCTTAGAGGCAGAGAGCGATCCAATCATATCCGGCTCCAACACCTCTTCCATCTCTTCGACAGTTCCGTCGGCGTTAGTCACCACTCGCTTACGGCTCGCGTGAGTTATTTTAGGACCAGAGAGTTGAGAGCTTATGATTCGACTTTTGTCGGGCGATGTCCTCTCAGTTCTACTGGTTTTGGGCACTGTTTTGACAGGAGTTGCCGTAATCGTCGGGTCGTGTTTCACAGTCTCCTTCTCGTACTCATCCATAGAACTGCCCGAAGATACCGATGAAGCGCTTGAACTCGAATCCAATTTCGAGTCCTTCGACTGTCGGGAAGTTCTGCCCGTCTCTACTGATTTGGGCGATGTCTGAGAAGTAGTCTTTGATTTCATAGGAATGCCTGATTTGTCTTTGGATTTTCTTAAATCACTTTCTAATACAACGAGAGTCGGCGACGACTTAACGGGTAATTTAGACTGCTTTGGGGCCACAGTCTGAGCCATCACTCTATCTCTGGTTTGCATTTTTGTGCGATCAGTAGCTGTCGACTCTTTCGAAGGCACTTCTGTTTTGACTTTTGTTTGTGTTTGTGGCGGAGATTTACTCCATTCACTGGCAACGGGCTGTTGTCTGTCAGTACTCTTCTCCTTATCGGGAGGTTTATAAGTGAATGCGAGTGCAGTCATCCGTTTGCCAGTAGGAGAGGGCAACTCGTCTTTACCAATAGGAGATATGTCTGCACCGGACCTTCTCTCCATATATGTGAACCCATGGTCTCGAGGACTGTAAGGCCGACGTAAGTCCGCCTCGTCTTCAGTATAAGTGTATTCCTTGACAAATGCAGAACCGGCCGGCTTTAGATCAAAGGACTGTTGGGATTGTCTACCTTTTGGGGTACTGGTTAATGGACTCTCGGAAACTAGTTTATTGGTTTCATTGAGAAACTCTTCCCTTTTAGTCGGAGTGACTTTAGTTTTAGGAGAAGTGGCGCTTATTTTAGAGGGAGATGTCTTAGATGGCGAACGCTATTAGTTGCCATTAGTTTAATAATATTCACATAACAGGTACGCAATCATTGGCCAAATGGTTGTCAGGACATGCATTTCAACATAAATTTTGTAAAACAAAAATCAAAATTAACAAAAACGCATGCAATTAATATATCATTAATTCTCAATCAATATACAAATCGTTAACTAAAACTAATTACAAGTTCTCTTAAGATTAACCACAGAAGGGTTAGACACTGACCTCATCGTTGTATTTGGATTCCTCTGGTATGACAGGACTCCTACTCATTGGTCTATCGATTGGACTTTTTCGTTGCTCTTCAATGCGTCTCATTTCCATCGGCGGTAATACAGCGACGCCACCAATTGGTCTGCGATGTCTTCGTTCAGATTCTTCACCGTCTGAAAGGAGTGATGGAGTTTTGCCGCCAATACTCTCAGGCGTTGTTGCAGTTGTTGATGAAATGCCAGTCCCGGAGCGTACCTTCTCATCTCGACTCGAGCGGTCGGAGTCATAAACTCTTGTCGCACCTAAACGTTCAAATATATTGAGTTTGATATAAGTTTGTCAAATATATGGCAAGTTTGTGAACATTGAATAAATAAGAATTGAACAGAAAATCCCAAACAACCAGTGAGTGTATAATCAGTTTAGATAAAAGTATGAATGAGAGTGAAGACTGAGATGAGACTCAAGAGTGAAGGTAAGGGTGCAGTAATACCTGAAATGGTGCGACTTTTACTCTCATCTGGTCTTAGCTCTATTGGTGTTCTATACCTCTCATAACCAAGAGCTTTTTAATTGCAACAAAAAAAACAAAACGCAATGAAATGATAAATTATAACAAAAACTCTTGTATCTAACACAGTTGACCACAATTTCATGCATACCTCCGTCCATACTTCTTGTGGTTAATCTTCTATTACTGAGCGTTCGTTGGAAGTTAAGGGGAGGCCTATCGATGCGTTCGCTATCAATCCTCGTCTGATAAAACGTTTTACCAGAATATCGGAATTTAGATCCAAAACGTGGCAAAAATAGTTTCTGTTTTGGTGGCGGTTCGGGTGACATAAGTCTATCCAAAATGAATATAAATGTCAATAATTAGGGATCATTTAATTGCCAACAGATCTTCGGCATACCTGAAGAAGGTGTGGTGTTCGACACATGTCTTCCAGAGCCGTTTGGCTGCCTTATGATTGGCGAGTTTGAAGCCAATGGTGCTCTCGTACTGTTCGAACTCTCCGGGCCTTATCTTTATGTAAAAGTTATTCCTTTTGTAGGATATCTTCAGAATCTTAGGCCACGCAAAGCGATTGATGCGAAGCCTATCCCTGTAGACGAGTAGTCCTGAGGCACAGACGCCCATCATTATGTCAACACCGGCCGAATCCTTGGCGTGATGTAAGTCCACGCCATACATCGCTAACTTCTTTGCATTTTCCAAATACTGAATCTCAGACTCGGCAGATGTCTGTCCCCTGTGTTGCTTATGAAGTTCACACACTTTCTCTTCGAGTTCATGTGTCTGATTGGGTGCGAAACGGAATTCCGATAAGTAATTGGATCCGTGCTCTTCGGGCTCGTAGTCTCCCAGTTCTGATTGAGCCAAATATGAGCCCAACATTGCGTGCGTTACGAAAGAGCAGGGAAGACGACCGTTCAGTATGTCGTTTCGGATTTGTAGACATAAGTGATATCTGAGCGCAAAAGCAAATAAAATTGTGAACTCATTGAATGAATGCATTTTATGGACTCAAACACAAACCTTGTGATGTCCTCCTGGAGTTGTGTCGGGTCTGGCGGATAGAACTTCACTTCAAAATTAAAAATCCACGGAAGGTCTGAATCATAAATTGATTGTTAGTGTTAGTAAAATTAACTAAAATTAAAGACAAAATCTTTACTTTGGATTTGTTTTCCAATCCTTTTATCCAAATTAAGCCAATTCTATGAGCAAATAATAATTTAGTTGAAAATGTCTTAATTACTGGTAATATATGATTAAAGACAAACCCGTGAATCCTCGTGATCTCTATATGAAAGGCCGAAGTAGTCCTTTTCGAGTAGATTCAAGTGCTCACATATCCTGTCAAACAGATCTCCTGCTTTCGTCCGTCTCTTTAAATATAAATTAAATACAAAAATACAGTTTAATGCATAAAACACTTCACATGAACTCAAATTGATTTCATTCTGTCATACATTCACTTGACTTTCAAATTCAGTTCCGTCCAGAAGATAGACTTTACAAGTCGTGTCTTTTGAGCTGAGATTAGTGGCCGACCGGGGCTTTCGTTTCTTGGTTTTGGGTCCATTCTCTTGGGCCACCTCTGCGGTCGACGCCTCGGATTTCTGTTCAATTGAATCTCCTTCTGCCATACCATCCAATTATGACTCTGTTTTTCATAACAAATACATTTATTGTAAAACCAGTTGTTTAGAAACAAAATCCAATATAATAACAAAAGTTTATTTAAATTATTTTTTATTCAAAACGTGAATTACGGTATATTTTTACATTTTATATATAATAAAAAGTTCACAACTAATTAGTATTCATTTGTTTAATAATTATATGCATTACAACCACCACTATGTGCACTCAAACTTAACATCAAATCAAATGACGAGAAGAGAATAAAAATGAAAACAATTTTCATTTTATGGATGAAAGCATGAAAATTAAATATATATTCAATAAGTTATACGTAACTTACAGTATAAAACATTACAATACATACAACAGCCTTCACTATCAACTCCACCAAAAACATTAAACAAATGTATGTCTCGTTCGGCAACTTTTCACTTATAAGACACGATTAGGAAAACATTTTTGCTTCATATTATCATCAGTTATATCAATAAATTGTATATAACTGTCAGTTATTTCATTGAAACTCAATTCATTGATAACATCTTAGTCTCAAGTTGTATGCAAACAAATTATCAAAATCGCAAATTATTGAATCATTTATAGATAAGATGTTTAGATAATTGAACATTTTTGGAGACAATTCTACAATTGCTTAGACATTATCTCCTGAATTATCCCAATAAACCAATCCATAAACTGCAAGCACTGACCTCTCCATCAGTTTGTCTCACATTCAAGTTATGATAAACATAATAGTGTAGGAAATATAATTTTTAAGAATATCATATATTGTGTTAGCAAGATATTTTTATATATAATTGCATGAATATTGAATTTTATTAGAAATTTAAATGCTTAAATGCATAATTTAGTGAACATTATATGTATGACAGCTCCTCTTTAGTAGAGGGTGTGTTAACTATAGACACAATTATGACTAAACAAATGTGAATACAGTACAGGAAACTGAACGATAATTCTCTAAAAAACAACATTTACTGTGAGTTACTCCTAAAGGCGGCCAATAAATTAAAAACAATAACTGAATATTGTGTTAAAGATTGAAATTAAAAATTGGCTGCAAATTCATTAACCAGTAAAGACTCACGACATGGCCTTAAGATGAGAACTGGTCGTGAAGTGAAAAGATTTTCGCAACAAAATAGATTTGAAGAGCAAACCAAAGATCATAAGTTCACAAATGTTTTTCTTATTTTAATAATTTTGAATTAAACCGAAAACAAATGAATCCCAAAACAAATCAAACGATTGAATTGCATGAAAATAAGGACATATTTGTTGCCTTTAAATCCCCATAAAAGTTCACAAATGTTTTTCTTATTTTAATAATTTTGAATTAAACCGAAAACAAATGAATCCCAAAACAAATCAAACGATTGAATTGCATGAAAATAAGGACATATTTGTTGCCTTTAAATCCCCATAATATGTTTATAATATCAGGACTTAATTTAAAGCCATTAAATGTTAATTTTTTGCTCATTTGAAAAAATATTTTTAATTAATAGATGGGTTGGGAGGGAAATAAATGGTTTATGATAACCGCTTCATAAACTGTTTGACCGGCTTTGGCAACTGTTGTTTAGATTATATCCGGACTTAATCTCAACAAATACTTGTTTCAAATAAAAAATTCTTCAAATGAATAACAAAAACTTTTTGATTAAATTAAATTTATATTTTTATAGTCTTTGGGAGTACACTAGAAAATAATATTATAAGTTATACAGTATATTGTGTTTTGTAGAAAAGTTTTTTTTCATGTGTAGACAATAATATTTAATAGAATTATTTAAACTAATATGATGTTTAATTTTAAAGTGCTCTAATTTAAATGATTACATGAGAAATTGCTAAACAATAATTTTACAATTACAATTGAGATATAATTTAAACATACAATTAGTACTCAATTAAATTAAATGAACATAAATTCAATAAAACATTAACTACTGGTTTGTTGGGTAAACACAGAGATATTAATTCAAATGAATTCAGAATTACATATTATTATTATTTGATTCATTGCTGAGTTGTAGTAAAATATTGCAAAACTAAAGGTTAGACTAAAAGTGGAGAGAAGTGGAGGAATCGTTAATTGTGTGGAAACACGCAATGGACTCAACATTAGAGTCGTGTTATGAGAGAACCACCCGTTCGGGGGTTGAATGCAATGTTACAACAGGAAGGCATCCCTGCCATCGATGGGCCGACCACTAGGTTTGACAACATATACTGCACCACAATAGGGATATACGCTGTCATGAATTCACACAATAATACAATACTTTTTCTAATTATTATGGTATTTAAAAACATGACATTTCTTTGAGTGTTTAAACAGTTTTACAAAATTAATCGTTTATAGCGTTTCACTAATAATTCGCAAATAATATAAACTTTTGCATCAAATCCTATCTTTCATTAACTTCAATAACATACAAATACACAAAAATAAAATAATAACTAAATGTATGCATTGTTATAGTTATATAATAATTGAAATGAATTGTTAAATATATCACAAGTGAGAGAGAAAAAGATTAGTTTCTCTCTCTCTCTCTGACACTCACATCATAAGCAGATCTGGAGCTTAATTGGGATGAGTTGTGAACATATCATTTGCACTCAAATCTATTTTCTACTCGAAAACAACTTTTATTTTTAATCACAAACTCTATTATTCAGTCATTTACGTTGAAGTTATGTCTTGAGATAAATGAGTATTTAGTGAAACGCCAACGTATTTACAAGTAATTGTTTGCAAACCAAACCTACTTTTTATTTATTGTCTCATAAAAGACACGATTAATTTCATTTAATTACTATCAAATATCTTATTACTTATCGGTAATACAATGGATATAAAAACATTGCTGTAATTAAATTACAAACAAAATATTCAGACAAATAAAACAGCAATTAAACGAAATAAATTTTCACAAAATTTAAAAAATAAAATATAACAACTATAAAGTACTATTTCAAAAATAAGCTCCGGATCTTGAAACAATTATAAGCAAGCAAGGATTACTCAAAACACAATATTTGTTCACTTTAGGCAATAATTTTAAATAAAGTGGAAAATAGTGAAACATAAAGCAATATAAAAATATATATTTGCATAGATTTTAAGGTGTTATTCTCGATAGCTTTTGGTGAATAGATTGTGTGATAAACAGAGTCCGTATCACACAATACAATACAGTATAATGAGTTGTTTTTTGTTGAATACAAGTATACGGAAAGAGAGAAAAACATGATAATAGCATAAGTCATAGGCATATACCGTAAGGAATAAAATTATAATATATTATCAAATAATAAGCGAATAGAGAGGATAGTGATGAACACAAAACAAATAAAAAGCAATATTTCAATAAATGCTATCCAAATAACTGCAAACTTAATACAGTACAGTCAGCGCTAATATACACAATCCAAACATAATTATGATATTGGATAACATTTGCGGATCATATATAAAACGTGATCAACTGAATGCCGATTATATGCTCATCCAAACACATCCAACACATTGCCCTCCACTACATGAACATTCAAATAAATGCCTCAAAGAATGTGAATCAGGATAAATAAATTTACAAAATCTTTTTCAAGCCATTTGTTTATTTTTTGTTAACTTTTTTTTGAGTAAAAATTGAAGTCTGATTTATTACGATTTGAATGTTTGGTGACTTAAAAGCATTTGTAATAAACCGATGGTTTGGGAAAATAGCAAAAATCAAAAATACAAACAACTAATAAAATGTTGATTCCGGGAACTAATGATAGTTTCGAGTATTTATTGTAAAATTAAAAACTTTTTAAAGTACTTATAAAACATATATTTATATTTGAGTTTATATTTCATTTGAGAGGACATTGACTTGAATGAGAGAGAAGATGTGATATTGAATGCTATTTGGCATCAATTGAATGGTTTGAGTGGTGTTTGTTTAGGTGACAATTGTCTCATTTGGCACCACAACCAACATCTCAACCCTATAGATATGCACTATATAGGCATCAATTAGGCAAGTGAGCAAGGTTGCTCAACTAGATTAGGCATCACCGCTAAATCAAATCATCAAATTGTGCCGAAGAGTGTCATAGAGTATGATAGCATTGGGAGTAAAGGATGGGAAACGAGACAATCGTTTGTCAAGTGTTTGAGACAAACGATTGCAACGAATGAATGGTTTGCGGACTAAAGCCATGCATAGAGTCAGTGATGACAGCAATTTGTCAATGAATTGAATGGCAATCAATGCAATGGTTTGTAATAACGTGTAATAAGTGGTGATCTAATGAAAGGGCGTATGCCTTAAGTGTATAGCGTTTTGACATATAGTCTACGGCTTACATCCAGCAATGGCTGATATGTTAACAGTTATGACGTTAAGTCTTATTCACAACACTTCACACTAGACTAGACTCAACCTAGACTTCATTCGCCACTCAAACTAATGTCCAGTCATTGACACAAACATTGAATTGAATCAAACTTTCGTCTCTTACCTCCGATTGTGTTGATAATGAGATGAATATACTGTAGATGTAAATGATGTCAATGTTGTCAATGTATGCTCTGTGAAACACAACTGTCCGCTCATTCAGTCAACACAACCCAACACAACATCACAATCCATACCAGTCCTCACTGCCCACCACAGGTGGCACTACCCGTCCCACCACTGTCTGTGCCTACAAAACAACACAATCATTCACTCACTGAGTCTCACGACAAGACACCAACGAAGTCACACTTAATTGATTCACTTCTTGCACCACTCATTGTCTGCTCATTATCTGTGATTGTATTGACATCTGAGTGGCGATGGGTTCAAAGATGGCTCAGACGAGTTGGGAAATGGCCAACAGTGTGGAGACCATACAATCCATTGATGAGATCTACAAATACAACCGCAAACAACAACAAGACATCCTCACAGCCAAGCCATGGGAGAAGGAGTATGTCTTATGTGTGACACCAAAGTGTGTCTCATTTATGTGCTAATTGTCTGACGTATTGATGCATTTGTGTGTATAGCCCGCACTATTTCAAAGACATACGCGTGAGTGCATTGGCGCTGTTGAAGATGGTAATGCACGCCAGAAGTGGTGGCACTCTGGAGGTGATGGGCCTGTTGTTGGGCAAAGTGGACGCCAACACAATGATAGCCATGGATTCGTTTGCACTGCCCGTGGAGGGCACTGAGACGCGAGTGAATGCCCAGGCACAGGCGTATGAATATATGGCCGCTTACACCGAGTCGGCCAAACAGGTCGGCCGACTCGAGAACGTGATCGGTTGGTATCACTCCCACCCGGGCTATGGGTGTTGGCTGTCGGGCATCGATGTGTCCACTCAGATGCTTAACCAACAATTTCAGGAGCCATTCGTGGCTATAGTGATAGATCCGGTGCGAACCATATCAGCCGGTAAAGTGAATTTGGGTGCCTTTCGCACTTACCCTAAAGGCTATAAACCTCCCGATGAGGGCCCCTCTGAATACCAAACGATTCCTCTCAACAAAATTGAAGACTTTGGCGTTCATTGCAAACAATACTACTCTCTGGACGTCTCGTACTTCAAGTCACTACTGGACCACCGATTGCTCGACTCCTTGTGGGATAAGTATTGGGTTCACACACTTAGCTCTTCCAGTCTTCTCACGGTATGTCCGCATCCATTGAGTGCTTAATGTCTTTAAGTAATGCATTGAATGCCTAACTCTAACAGAACTCGGACTACACGACGGGTCAGATATTCGACTTGTCGGACAAACTGGAGTACTCGGAGTCCCAGTTAGGACGCGGAGGGTTTATGCTTGGGTTGGATCCGCACGAGAAGAGGACCGAAGACAAGCTGTCGAAGGCGGCCAAAGACAGCTGTAAGACCACTATAGAAGCCATTCACGGACTCATGTCTCAGATCGTTAAGGACACGCTCTTCAATAAAGTGGTTCCTTAGCTCTACTCAACTCTCATCGCTATTTCTATTTGTATTTATGACTCGAATCCACATTTGTTTCGATTGCTATGTGTTTTTCATTTGAAATATTTGTAAATTCATTTATATTTAAACAATTCTTAATAAATGAATATTCTTATAAAACATTGTAACAAATTAACAAAAAAGTGTATTCATAAAAATGAATAAAAATTTTGAAGGAAAGAGTTGTGTTATTGAGTTTTCATTTCGTCAATGGATTTGTATTTTTGCATTGTTTAAACAATTTTTGGCAACACTTACGAGTTAATGAAAAAACACTTGTGTATCACAATAGCTATTAAATTATATTAAACCTTATAAATTAAACAGATTATTAAGTGGAGCACAGATTCTCTGCTATGAATTGACTTATAAATTGTTATTCATTTGAGTTAAAATTGAAGCTTAAGTTCTCATCAGTATTATGCAAATGACATCATGTATCGAGATACTTGCTGATAATTAGTATTGGCTGCCGATTTAAAGTCTGAATAATACAGGTATTTCCCAATTAATTGGTTTATTATTAATATTTTGTTGTGTAGATTTAACTAACAGTCAATTCTTAATAACTGTTTCTATATAAAAGATACACTACTGTATGTAAGTCTAAAGCTACAGGTACTGTACTTATAAACTTATTTAAAGAATATGTTACTAATACTAACTTAGAATTTGATTTGATTTGTACCCGTATAATTCAATACTGCTAAATCAAACCAAATAAAATCACTGTTGTCTTGGATTATAAATTTAAATAATGGGTCTACCCTGTTCAGTTTGATTAAGACTCAAGGTCCAAGTGATTAACAGTGACAATAGAGCAGTGGGTTTGTGTGAATGGGTTGAGGTGTGAGTTGTGACAGTGACTCAGACCTGTACCTCAATTGTAGTGCGAGAGTGACTGTGAGTGCAATGATAGCAATGATAGCAATGTATGGTTTGTTTGAATTCGCAAAACACGGCTTTCTTTCACCAATACATCACTTTTTATCGCATTTTTAAATTAAATTAGTTTTCATTTATTAAAAGTTTATATATCTGTTAAAGTTGTCATCAAAATAGAGAACAAATAGATAGACTCCAGAGATGCCTAAACAAAACAAATCGAAGTCCAGTCTTGAGAATGAGTGTCAAGAAGACAAGAGCACTGATGGCCACAAAGAGGTGACCACCAAAGCAGCCAAGTTGTCAGTGAATGAAGAGATTCTGCAGGAGTTGCACACACTTTATGCCGACAAAAGCCACGGCTTGATATCCATCGGACAAACACTTGGTCTCCATTTATTGGCGCCGCGAAGAAAGATCACAGTATTGCTGATCGGCAACCATTCGGCCGGGAAGTCCTCTTTCATCAATTGGTACGTCAGTGATAACGTCCAGAAGACGGGCGTTGCCATCGAGACCCAGGGATTCACTTTTGTGACAAATGGCAAAAGACGGGAATCGCTGACAGGAAAGGCAACCATTCATTTGTACCCACACTTCAAGACGTTGGAGAAGATCCCGGGAGTGATTCAATACCTGTCGACAGAGATCTCTGCCTCGAAGGCCAACAAATTCAATTTGACGACATTTATCGATACGCCGGGTCTGGTAGACGGTGACGTCCACTACCCGTACGACGTGGACAAAGCGATCGCATGGATGGGCGACTTAGCGGACCTGATCTTTGTCTTCTTCGACCCGATCGGTCAGGCGTTATGCAAACGAACCCTCAATTTGGTGGAGAAGCTGAATGGCAGACATTCAGAGAAAATGCGCTTTTATTTGTCGAAAGCGGATGAAGCGGGACATGAGAGCGACCGCCAGAAGGTGTTGATGCAAATCGTTCAGGAGTTGTGCAAAAGACCCGGACTTAACAAATGCGGGTTCGATATGCCGACCATCTATGTGCCCATTCCTGGCAGACCTCAATCCAATTGTGTGAATCAAATACAAGAAGTTTGCAGTGATATCGAAAAGACCATTAACTACACCATTCAAAACACACTCAACTCTCTGGAGAAAGATTGCGAACAAATGGTTCAACTCATTGACGCCAAACTCGAAGACGACAACACGCGAAGAGCTAATAATTTCAGAGCCAGTCTTCGGGGCTTTGGTTTTGGAATCTTTGCATTAGTTCTACCATTGATTTTATTCCTCAACTTTCTTGTCAGTAGTTCTGGCAATGGTTTTCTCAACTCATTTCTCGACTCCAACTCCACAAATGTTATCACAAGCTATTTATCTCCGTTTCACTCGTTTTGGTCCGTTTTGCCCAAAGAGTATCACTTTCACGCACTCGTCCTCATCATAGGACTGGCAGTTATATTCGTATTACTGGCCAAATGGTGTGCCAGACTCAGCCCTACTCTTCCCCGAAAGGATAAGAAATATTTGATAGAAAAGAGAGATCTGATCACTAAAAAGATTCTCATCAAAAGGCAGACTCTTTACAGGGATTATCTGTTTCAAAGTGTGGGCGAACACGACTTCACATGAGGTCTACATATTCTATATGTCTCTCAATTATCCTTTTTATGGTACAATCATCTCAATGGAAATGGTGTTCAAAGTGACCCAACATATGGTCTCCAAAGTTGTTGCGAACAAATCGTTTTTAATCTAATGTTTTCGTAGTTATATTTTTGCCAATTTTTATTTAATTTCTGTTTTACTTACGTTTAATCCGATACACGGTATACCTGTCTATCAATGTTTTTAATGAATTTTACCACAAAAGCAATCATTTATTAAACAAATAGTTTCAATAAAATAAATCAAACAATTCTTTCAAATCAAGATATTTATTATCAAAACAATACAAACATCTTGTCTTATGGGTCGGCAATAGTCACCTCGACATCGACGCCGGGGTCGATGCTAATAGACGTGACCTGTTTGACGGTCTCCGACGAACTCCTCAAATCAATGACTCGCTTATGGATTCGCATCTGAAAGCGATCCCAAGTCTTGGATCCCTCACCACAGGGTGTCTTACGAGTGGTGATTCTCAGTGTCTTTGTGGGCAGTCTCACGGGTCCGTTCACCTGAAGCTTCTTGTCTTTGGCGCCTTTGATGAGTTCGGCGCACACTATGGCATACATGAACACCATTAGTACCACTCACGAGTCGTGGATCGATAGGAGACATACCTTTCTCAAGACTCTTAACGTTAGGACTGGTAAGAGTGATGCGGATCCGATGGATCTGAACCTGAGTTTCTTCGACTCCCGGTTTGTTTGGATCGGGTTTAGCATAAGAAGTCTGTTTTGAAGACAATTATTAGCTAAGAGTGAGTCCAAGTGTGACACCAAGTGATGGTAGACTTACCATTGTTGATGATAATTGTCTTTTCCGCCCGAGAATAGCCTTCTGTGACCAGCGCTGAGACGGAATCAGATGCAGACAAACGAAGAGATGTTTTGCGGATCAGTGACTGAAAGGAAGAGGAAATGCTAAACAAAAGCATTGAAACACTCGTCACTTGTGGCGACACTCACGACATCTTTGGCTCTTATGTTAGAAACAAATGGTTTTGTAATTCATTTGAAAATCATTTCATAAATCAATGTTTGTTTGAATTGTTGTCAAATGAATGAAAACACAATTTAACTGCAATTATGAGTTAAGCGTTGATTCAAACAAATAGTGAGGCATTGAGTGCTTTGAATGACTGACGAAAGCAATGAATAAAAGGGAAAACAAAAGCGAAAGCAAACGACACTTCAAAGTGTGAGTCTTTTATTGATGTCTTTTAGCCGATTTGGACTCAATTAACGGATTAATGTGTTTATGTCTTCAGATGTCACCAAAACCTTTGTATCCATCAAATCAATTTCCAAAAGCAGTCTTTTCTTGTGAGTATTGATAGTCTCGATGTAGGCATTGACTCGCAAATGGATTAACGGCTTAATTGTGACTCAATGTAGGGTTTCGTTGAATTGCATGTAATCTCACAAAGAGATGACTTAAAGAGGATTAAACTGAACGCCAAACAGTTGCGGGTCTTTCGCGCAGCCATTCTCTACACTGACGACAATCTCATCAAAGACTGTGACTTCACTTATTCGGATCCATCTCTCGATATCTGTCAGTCGGAAAACAAACGAAATTTAGACACCTTTTCGGGTTCGCACTCATCGGTCGTCCAGAGTGTAGATCCCGATCGAGGAAATGGCGAACTCTTGGTTGAGGTGCCCGAAGACATACCAGAGATAGTGAGTGCTGTGAAGGAGAGGACAGTGATTCGTCTTCACATCGATTTTGCAGTCGAGAGACCCAAAGGAGGCGTTCAGTTCGTTGTGCCCGAAAGCGATGGATCCCTCGCCGAAAGGGGGGCCCATATGTTCACCTATAGGTATGAGAACTCCAACCGATTGTGGTTTCCATGTGTGGACTCATACAGTGAGGTCTGCACGTGGAGAATGGAATTCACTGTCGACCTCAACATGATTGCTGTTTCTTGTGGTGAACTCATAGAAACGGTTTACACGTCAGACAATAAGAAGAAGACATACCATTACTCTCTGTCTACCCCTACCTGTGCGCCAAATATAGCATTAGCTGTGGGTCCGTTTGAGGTAATGGTAGACCCATTCATGCATGAGGTCACGCACTTCTGTTTACCACATTTATTACCACTACTTCGAGACACCTGTGGTTTCCTTCACGAGGCGTTTGAGTTCTACGAAGAACTCCTTTCCAGTCGTTATCCCTATACTTGTTATAAACAAGTGTTTGTCGACGAATCCTATGAGGAATTCCAATCATTTGCCACAATGACTGTTCTCTCGACTAATCTGTTGCACTCAAGACATATCATTGACCAGACCTACCACTCGCGTCGGCTGTTATCGCATGCGATCGCACAACAGTTCTTCGGCTGTTTCATAACAATGCAGTCGTGGTCTGACGCGTGGCTCTCGAGAGGGATCTCCGCATTCTTGGCCTCCCAGTACTATAAGAAGGCTTTTGGTAACAATGAATACCGGTTTGATTTGTACCAACAGTTGCAAGAAGTGATTCAATACGAACAGAAATACAGAGGAGTGGTGTTAGACCCGACCAAACAGAGCTCTAGTGAAACGAATGCCTTCTACTTCCCGATCAAACATTTGCACACAATTTCACCCCTTTATGACAGCGCGCACAAGAAGAAGAGCTATTTAGTGATCCGAATGCTTGAGAACTATTTGGGCCGAGAATTACTTCTGCAGGTGTTTAACAAACTGCTGTCTCTGGCCATTAACGCCGCGCCCCAGAAGTTCTCAGCGAATGTTTGGTTTAATTTCATGATATCGACCAATAGCTTCGTTTGGGCCATATCTACGGTCACCGGTAAGAACATCGACACATTCCTACAGCAGTGGGTCTATGACGGCGGACACGCAAAGTTTCACTCGTCATTCGTCTTTAACCGCAAGAGGAATACCGTTGAGCTCGAGATTAAACAAACCGACACTCATATGACTGGAGTTAAGAAATATGTCGGACCCCTTGTGGTGACAGTTCAGGAATTGGACGGAACTTTCAAACATCCCGTTCAGATAGAGGACAATATGACGAAACACGACTTGACGTGTCATTCAAAGAGTAGACGTAATAAGAAGAAAAAGATCCCGTTGTGTACCGGAGAGGAGGTTGATATGGATTTGAGTGCAATGGATCCCGACTCACCTGTGCTGTGGATTAGAATAGACCCGGAAATGCAATTACTTCGTGAGGTAGTGTTGGAACAGCCCGACTATCAATGGCAATACCAGTTGCGGTTTGAGCGCGACGTCATGGCACAGATGGATGTCATTCACTTCATCGACCGATTCAGTACTCCTCAGACACGTAACGCATTGACAGACACTATAAACAACGAGCAGTGCTTTTATAGGGTGCGATGCGCTGCCACTCTCTGTCTCAGGAAAGTAGCCAATCAGATGGCCAGCACATGGACCGGTCCTCCGGCTATGTTAAGCATATTCCGCAAAATATTCGGCTCTCATTCGTGTCCGCATATCATAAAACTGAACAACTTTTCCAAATTCCAGCACTACTTCCTTCAGAAAGCAATGCCCATATCGATGGCCGGACTCCGCAATATTCACGGCATTTGTCCTCAAGAAGTGCTTAAATTCTTATTGGATTTGTTTAAGTACAACGATAACAGCAAAAATAAGTTCTCCGATAACTACTATAGAGCGGCACTAATCGATGCGTTGAGTGAAACGGTTACTCCTGTGGTGACCGCTGTATTGAACCCAATCGGACAACAGATCACTGCCGAAGCGCTCTCCACAGACACCAAATGCATATTAGAAGAGATCACACGTTATCTGAATTTAGATAAACTCTTGCCCTGTTATAGACATACCGTAACTGTGAGTTGTCTTAAGGCAATCAGACATTTGCAGAAAATGGGTCATTTGCCGAGTAATCCCATGTTTTTCCGCGAGTATGCCGTCAGCGGTGTCTTCATTGATGTCCGCAAAGCAGCGCTAAAGGCATTGATAGACATAACAAAGTCTGAAGTGAGGAAAGAAGATTTGGATTTTCTGCTCGATTTAGTAGAAAACGAATCCATTCCTTGCATCCGATTATATATATTGAAACAATTTGGGAAAAACCCTCCGTTTGTTAAAAACCAACAAAATATTTTGAATACCGAAGATCTGGTCGACCGCTTGTGGCATCTCATGAACTCTCAGTTATCATACGATTCGAGTATCCGTTGCGCTGTCGTTGACCTCTACTACGCTCTTTACGGGAGGGGACGACCCTCTTGTCTCCCTAAACCTGAAGTATGTTATCATTTGTTTAAGAGATATAAACATTATTTTAATTGAAATGTATTTTAGTTTTCAGTCGTTTTAAATCTTAAAGAAAAGAAGGCGACAGTGAGTACAGCACTGGTAGCCAACGATGATTTAGAGGTAATCATTTAGTTCTGTGTTTATGATATTACTGTATGAATTTTGTAACCATTATTTGGGTTTTGATTAGACACTGGAGTCGAGCGCTAGAATGGATATGGATGTCGAGGACAATATCAATGAGTCTAAAGAGACGGACGAGTCTTTCAATGATCTCGAAATTGTTCCGAAGAGACGAACATTCGATGAAATTGTAAATAATAGACATTTATTACGAGGAAGTGTTTAATTAATACTTTGATTTTCTGTTTGTATCGAATCAGATAAATGACACCAAATTAACTCGAGAGCGCGAAAAGAGCCCTCAAAGTGCTCATGAAATCCAATTATCTCCACAAACGACTGCACCAGAAGTGAATGAAAGCGTTGCCGAAACAGTGAGCGAAGACATAGACATGACTTCCACTTCACACAATCAGAGTCTACCAGAACTGTCCTCTGACTTGACTACCAGTCAAATGCCTTCGACTGCCACTCCTATGACTAGTGAAGCGGAGGCCACTGTCAACCCATTGAAAGAGAAGTCTAAGAAGGATAGGGATAGAGATGAAAGTGGCGGACATTCCTCTAAACCACATAAGGATAAGAAGAAGAAGAAGAAGAAACACAAACATAAAGAACATAAAGACAAACATAAACACAAACATAAGGATAAGGATAAAGACAGAGATAGGGATAGACAGGACAGACACCACTCACACGACAGGACTGCCAGTTCTGGAGGAAGTACTAACACATCTCCCGTGAAATACACATAAAAAGTGTGGAAAAATGCATGAAATGATGATATATAGACATAAAAATAGTTTTGTTTAAATGTTCAATAATAATTAATAAATATATGCGATAATGTATTCATTGATTGTTTTGGGTTTGAAATGTTCGCCAAAAGTATTGTTTACAATATATTATCATAATATTTGTCATTTTTGGGTCCAGTATTGTGTGCAGCAGTCTGTGGCCTCTCTAATGCCATCTACCGGTTGACTACAATTCATTGATAACTGCATACAATAGGGGTTAGAGTTAGCAAAACAATTGACGCACAACTCGCGGATCAAATGAACTGCATTTGCATACAAGATACCAATAATGAGCATTTGAATGACAGCACAGTGGCCAACACCGACCACCACTGGCCGGTGTCCACCACCGCACACATTAGGCATACACTCTTAGTATAGCAGAGGCAGTGGTAGGATAGTGTGGATTGAACGGCAGTATCGGCCGTATAGTGCTCAACTATAGTATAGTGTTGAGTGAGGTGTGAGTGTAATGGTATTGAGCGCATGACTCGTATTGCAAATGGCTGTCTATGTTGTTGTAAATCTATGGCGAACGTCAGTGGCAGTGAATCATGCCTAAGGATATATCATGTGCAGGTACATCACCCAACACTTCCACACCACCACCACACCACCAATACGCCACCACTCACTCACCACACACACGTCCGGAGCGCACGGGCGCACCACGAGCGCACGAGTGTCCCTGCTGCTAATTGCACGACAATCTTATTATCCGTTTAGTTAGCCATCAGTTGCTCGCAAATCACTGATCAATTGGTTTTGAAGAATTAATCACTATTTGAGTCTTATATGCCATAATGAATGCATGTGCATATAATGACCAAGTACACTTATCGTATTTTAACAATAGTAGGCATCAATTGATGAGATGTTTTGATTTTGCATTTGGTTTTGAAGTGCATATCAATTAAAGAGATGTTTGCAGATAATGGGCGCAAATGAATGCAAATCTGTTTGCATTGATTGCCAATTGATTTGCCTTCATATGAGTCCATAGTTTATTGATTTGTAATTGAATTGATGCGATGATTATAATTGTTGTGCCAATGAGTGAGTGGATGGAGTAGTGGTGATTGAAACTGATTTGTTGACACAAATGCTAATCACTGTCTGTTTATGCCCCGAAGGCATGGATGTCTCACCAGATGAAGTGCTCATGAAATCCAATTATCTCCACAAACGACTGCACCAGAAGTGAATGAAAGCGTTGCCGAAACAGTGAGCGAAGACATAGACATGACTTCCACTTCACACAATCAGAGTCTACCAGAACTGTCATCTGACTTGACTACCAGTCAAATGCCTTCGACTGCCACTCCTATGACTAGTGAAGCGGAGGCCACTGTCAACCCATTGAAAGAGAAGTCTAAGAAGGATAGGGATGAAAGTGGCGGACATTCCTCTAAACCACATAAGGATAAGAAGAAGAAGAAGAAGAAACACAAACATAAAGAACATAAAGACAAACATAAACACAAACATAAGGATAAAGATAAAGACAGAGATAGGGATAGACAGGACAGACACCACTCACACGACAGGACTGCCAGTTCTGGAGGAAGTACAAACACATCTCCCGTGAAATACACATAAAAAGTGTGGAAAAATGCATGATATATTGACATAAAAATAGTTTTGTTTAAATGTTCAATAATAATTAATAAATATATGCGATAATGTATTCATTGATTGTTTTGGGTTTGAAATGCGAGCCAAAAGTATTGTTTACAATATATTATCATAATATTTGTCATTTTTGGGTCCAGTATTGTGTGCAGCAGTCTGTGGCAGAGCTAATGCCATCTACCGGTTGACTACAATTCATTGATAACTGCATACAATAGGGTTAGAGTTAGCAAAACAATTGACGCACAACTCGCGGATCAAATGAACGGCATTTGCAGACAAGACACCAATAATAAGCGTTTGAATGACAGCACAGTGGCCGACACTGACGACCACTGGCCGGTGTCCACCATCGCACACATTAGGCATACACTCTTAGTACAGTAGAATCAGTGGTAGAGTAGTGTGTATTGAACGGCAGTATCGGCCGTATAGTGCAATACTATAGTACAGTATAGTGTTGAGTGAGGTGTGAGTGTAATGGTATTGAGCGCATGACTCGTATTGCAAATGGCTGTCTATGTTGTTGTGAATCTATGGCGAACGTCAGTGGCAGTGAATCATGCCTAAGGATATATCATGTGCAGGTACATCACCCAACACTTCCACACCACCACCACCGCACCAATGCGCCACCACTCACTCAACGCACACACACCCGCAGCGCACGGGCACACCACGAGCGCACGAGTGTCCTTGCTGCTAATTGCACGCAAATCTTATTATCCGTTTAGTTAGCCATCAGTTGCTCGCAAATGACTGATCAATTGGTTTTGAAGAGTTAATCACTATTTGAGTCTTATATGCCATAATGAATGCATGTGCATATATTGACCAAGTACACTTATCGTATTTGAACAGTAGTAGGCATCAATTGATGAGATGTTTTGATTTTGCATTTGGTTTTGAAGTGCATATCAATTAAAGAGATGTTTGCAGATAATGGGCGCAAATGAATGCAAATCTGTTTCCATTGATTGCCAATAGATTTGCCTTCATATGAGTCCATAGTTTATTTGATTTGTAATTGAATTTAAGCGATGATTATAATTGTTGTGCCAATGAGTGAGTGGATGGAGTAGTGGTGATTGAAACTGATTTGTTGACACAAATGCTAATCACTGTCTGTTTATGCCCCGAAGGCATGGATGTCTCACCAGATGATCCAGAATTAGCCAAAACAGTGTTGACATGTGAGGGCGATCTCAGGGACCCGGCCTTCCCTTCAAGACTCACACAAATCATATGCAAACTAAAACGGCTCGTCTCTGAGGGTATGTCCGGTTATT